ATCATGGATAACAATATATAAAGAATTTTGAGTCTTCTTCAGCAGATTGGATTGGAAGACTGGGGAACTGGGAGAGGGGAGATATAGATAAAAAAATTATCTCAGTAGAGAAAGAGACAGGGTTGTATGGTAGCAGGTGAGCTTAAGGTAAAGGTGAGGAGCTGCCAGTGACAAATTCCTTGTGATGGGAAATTTATAGCACAATGATATCAATTATTTAATTCTAATTTTTCCCCTAGTCTGTGAACCTCCTAAGTTTTCTATAATATATTTATTTAAAATCTATTACCCAAACAAACGTCGTGTTCATTTTGCTTTAGAGAATGAAGAAAAATGAAGAAAAGGCCATGCTTATCATGATGTGGTACTGGATAGGGTGAGTAGTCACGGGAAATGGGTTCGGTGTCAATAACACTTTAGCAGAAGCAGGAAAACGGATAGCTATGCAAATGCAATAGTGAGCCCTCGAGTAGCCTTGGAAATTCTGGGACATGTTTTCGACATCAAACTGCACAAAGATTTTGATCTCGGAAGCTAAGCAGGGTCAGGCCTGGTTAGTACTTAGATGGGAGACCACCTCGGAAGACCAGGTGTTGTAGGCGTAAAAAATAAAAAATAAAAAATAAAATAATAAAAGAAAATAAACTGCACAAAGGATGAGGGATGTGGCTGAGATTTTAGCCCCAACATTTCTTTGCACAAGTATCCATGTGCTTCCGTACATTTTCTCGGTCCCCTGCGGTTATGTTGAGGGCATGTGACTGGATTCTGGCCACTGGGACGTGGGTGAAAGTGAGGCAGACCACTTCTGGGCCTGGTCCTTACTGATGTTTTACATCACCTTTGCCTGCTCTTCCCTCGTGCTAGCAATCTTGAAGTCCACCTGTTACAAGTGGCCTAGCTATGAGATGGAAGAGAACTCCCTAACCCACACTAGATTTTTCACAAGTCAAATAAACTTATTGTATAAAGCCACTGGGATTTTAAGGTAATTGTTAAATACAGCTTAGCCCAGAAGACTCATCTCTTCACCCAGCAAGCTCTGCTGTACATGCGCATGTGTGCGTGCATGATCATAAAAACATGTCCTCTTAGGCAGTAAGGGTTGTGGCCTAGGTGGCATCCATTGGCAACCAATATGTATAGGGCAGACAAAAATTTTAATCCACTCACCAAGTTACTATATGACCTTGGGCCCTCTTAGCCTGTTTCTTCATCGATACGGACGAGGAGTCCCATTATCCTTCTCAATCCCCAGGGCTCTTGTGAAGATAGCTGAAGACAGTGCTTTGAAATCGTGAAGGGTGCTCTGCTAATATGAGATCTCATTAAGCTGGGCTTCCTACATTTTCTTTTCTTAAATGGAGGGAAGAGAAGAAAGAAAGTGAATAAGCCTAGATGATAACAAGGCATTTGTTAAGCCTCCCTCCTGGAAGCTCTTTGGTCTTGCCCTCTCTTTTCAAGCCTATCTCTTAGTACCAGCATATGCCAAGATAGTTTAGAGACTGAGGCAAAAGAAAAATCGAAGATACTCATGCTGGTGCCATCTTAATTTCTGTACCTGAGGCGAGAGCCTCACTCACCTCATCCTTGTCCTGGACTTGCCTAATGCCATCCTGTGCTGCTGGCCAAGCCCCACTCATCCCAGGAGTAGTCCCTGGGCTCTCCTGCCCCTGTGAATTTGCTCACATTGGTCCCTTTCCTGAAGAGTTTTACCCACCAGCCTCCACTCCTGACTACTCTCCAGACTGATGGTCACCTCCTCTGGAAAGCCATCCCTGATCGACCCCAACTGTAAGTAATCTTGCCCTACACCAAATCCCCATGGCACCCTACCTACACCTCACTTAAGAGTTAAGTGCTTGTTATATTGTAGGGTGGAGAGTGATCTTACCTATTAGGTTGCACATTCCTTGCAGATAAGCACTGTGAGGTTTCTGTTTTTTTGGAGGGGCTTGTTTTGCTTTGTATCTCTTGCTCTTTGTTTAGAACTTTCAGCACAGTGATGAATCAATGAACTATGTGGTCTTACTTTCTCTTCCTTCCCGTAATTGTCAAAGAGAACAATTATTCCGTTCTTCTCCATCTTCCTTATTTACTTTTCTAAATTGAGACATGTTGAAATTCAGTGACTTAACAAAATGCCTACGAATTCGGGGCTGAAAAAAATACTAAAATTGTCAAAGATTCAGAGCTGGCAAAGGCCATGCCAACAAGAAAAAACCTGCCAATTTTCCCTCTGGGCAACAACCCAGGTTTTTGTTTTTCCTATGTTTTCATTTGTTTTTAAAGAGACAAAAAAAAAAAAAAAAAAAAGAGAAATACCTTACTCCCAAGGAGGGCAAATTTAGAAGACACGATATGTTTCATTGAGGTCTCTGTGTAGAGTCTTGGATGTGTCCTCCTGGATAATGTGGATTACAGCTTTGTGTTTACAAAGCACCCTTCTTTTAGGAGATGGCCACTCTGATGAGGGTGGCAATGGGTACAATTTCTGACATTGTGACAGGAGAGTTAAAGCCAGACGCATCTCATTCCTCAAGGGACTGTGCAGACCCGGGATTCAGGGCTTTTAGACATCACTCAGTAGGCATGCCTTAGCGCTTTGGGAGTTGGGACTGGGACTTGGTTCCTTGTTGAGAATCCACATGAGCGATAATTGCCTTTCCTTAGAGACCATTTTAGCCATCAACTGGGGACTGTGGAGCTTTTGTAGCAACTATTAGTGTCTTTTCCAAAAGGAAATTGCACTGAGACCAGGAGCCCATAAAAAGAGCTTGTTGTCCAACTTATACTATCCCAGCCTGTAACTGAACAAAACCCAGGGTGAGGAATGCATCTTAACCAGATTCACCAGATCATAGAAACAGGGAGAGAGAGTAGGAAGTGCTTGACAGACCAGTATTGAGAATAATACAGTGCAGGGACCAAACTTCAGGCAGCTATGACATTGTCTCCATGATGAGTCACTATTTTGTGTGTGTGTGTGTGTGCGTGCGTGCGCGCGCGCACAGGTGTGTGATTAACTAGCTTGCTTACTATCATAAATGAGCAGGTATGGGAGGACAAGAACCACCTAGACCTGCTGTCCAGTGCAGTGGTCCTTCCCCTACACTCTTAGGATGCCTTGCTAAGCAGTGAAAGAGAAATGAACTTTAAAGACAAAGGAAAATTAGTGGATAAAGAGAGAAGAGGACTGGCCAGGTGAAGGTGAAGTGGACTTCAGGTGAGAAAAATGGATCTAGTTCTCTTGGTTTATGCTCAATTCAGATCTCCAGATACAATTTCTCTTATTTATCATTTCCCCCAATATGGCAGTCCAACACTAGAGTAACTGCCAAAGTGAATGATATAAAGATGATGAAATATCTTTTTTATCCTGCTACATTGCAACTCTGCCAGAGGACTTTCTATCCATTAGCACAAAAGTCTCCATCAGCCTTCAGATGTGAATAGACTGCAGTGCTGGTATTCATACTTGCCTACTTACAGGTAGATACTTCCTAACTCCCGTTGGACTGTTGGAATCAACATGTGATGCATGTAAAATCCTGTTTTAAGATAAATAGTGCTTCTGTGTGCAGGTTTTTCCTAATGAAAGTTCCATCATTTACTAGCTGTACAATATTGGGCATGTTAAACTCTTTCTGTCTCAATTTCCTCATTTGTAAAATAAGGATAATAAAAGATCCTAATTTATAAAGTTATTGTTGGGATTAATTAAGTTAATATATAAATCACTCAGGATAATTGTCTATCTATGTGTTTCTATTATTGACAATGTGAACGTTTATAAAATCTGTTTTTGATAAACTTAGAGGCTCTAATTAAGACAGCAGCTTTCTATTAAGTAAGGACATAGTTAGGTTGAGAATGGAAGGGTCAAGCCAACAATGGCTGCGACCTTTGTGAATGTGGATTGACTTTCTGTGTTTAAACATTTTCATAACAATAATCACTTGAATGTTTATACAGTGCCTTTCCCTCTGCAAGGTGCTTCATATCTCATTTGCTAAACTTTATTCCACAGAAACATATTGAGGCCTCACTAGGTGCTGAGCTCCAGAGGCACACACTCTGACTAGGGAAGACTCAAGAGAGACTTCTTGTGGGAATACCATCTGAGCTGAGGTTTGAAGGTAGTGTAGGAGCTGTGCAGGACCCTGGGGGCAGGAAAGAGACAGTGTTTCAGCAGAAGGAGTGGCTCATGGAATACTCAGAGATTTGAAAGAAAATGGGGGGTTAGAGAAAGGGCAAAAGAGTGCCTGGCAAGAAGTGTGGGGCGGGGGTGGCCGTGGATGTGAAGAATGAGAAGGAGATGTGAGAAAGTAAGCAGGGGAGAGCTCATGGAGGGCATTCCCTAGCATGTCGGAGAGTCGGAATTATATCCTATCTTGATGGGGGGTGGTGGCTAGGTTTTTAACAAGAGAGTGGGAGGTGATCAAAGTAAAGTCTTAGAAATATCGCTCTGGCCACAGCGAGGAGAGAGAACTGGCAAGAAGCAAATCTGGAGGCAGGAGGTGCTGTTAGTTATATGGCTGTTGTTTTGATCCAAGCAAGAGATGAAGAAGGTTTGAAATAAGGGAGAAGCTGTGGTCATGGAGAAAAAGGGACAGAGTTCTGAGATGGATATTCCTGGGGAGGCAAGGACCACATGTATCAAACCCTACAGGAGCCATAGGGAAATTCTGCTTAAGAGTGATAATCTGAATCGCAGGGGCTCACATCGTTAGTTAGCAATAAATATGGGAGATGGTGTTCTCTTATTCCGAAAATGTTTACCAGTATTGATCTTCTTGACATATTAAGCGGACTCTATGTCACAGAATTCTCTCGAAAGTAGAAGCTAAGTCCAGACATCTCTGAAGCCCCACGTGGCACCTGGAATATTTTGTCCATAGTACAGGTTTGATAAAATGTAAACTAAAAATTCAATTAAGTCTTATTTACAGCTTCCTAACTTGCTTCTCATCACAGCCCTCTCAAGTCCCTCTGGCTTCATGGCAGAGAAGAACCTCACCTTAGTGACTGAATTCCTCCTCATAGCATTCACTGACCACCCTGAATGGGCACTGCCTCTCTTCTTCCTGTTTCTGTTTATCTATCTCATCACCTTGTTGGGGAACCTGGGCATGGTTATTCTAATCCGTGTGGATCGCCGGCTCCACACCCCGATGTACTTCCTATTGAGTCACCTCTCTTTCATGGACATCTGCTACTCATCTGTCACTGTGCCTCAGATGATGGCCGTGTTGTTGGAGCTAGGGGCAGCTTTATCTTACACTCGCTGTGCAGCTCAGTTCTTCCTCTTCACCTTCTTTGGTGCCATTGACTGTTACCTCCTGGCCCTCATGGCCTATGACCGCTATGCGGCCGTGTGCCACCCCCTGCTTTATGTCACCATCATGACACAGAAGGCCCGTTTGGGTTTTGTGGCCGGAGCTTACGTTGCTGGTCTGTTCAGTGCGTTGGTGAGGACAGTCTCAGCTTTCACTCTCTCTTTCTGTGGAAACAATGAGATTGACTTTATTTTCTGTGACCTCCCTCCTCTTTTAAAGCTTACCTGTGGGGACAGCTACACCCAAGAAGTGGTCATTATTGTGTTTGCCATTTTTGTCCTCCCTGCCTGCATGGTGGTGATCTTAGTGTCCTACCTGTTTATTATCGTGGCCATTCTGAAGATTCCCTCGGCTGGAGGTCGGGCCAAGACCTTCTCCACCTGTGCCTCCCACCTCACCGCTGTGTCGCTCTTCTTTGGCACCCTCATCTTCATGTACCTGCGAGATAACTCAGGCCAGTCCTCAGAGAAAGACCGAGTGGTGTCTGTGTTCTACACAGCAGTCATCCCCATGCTGAACCCCCTCATTTACAGCCTGAGGAACAAGGAAGTGAAGGAGGCCCTGAAGAAAGTTCTCAACAGAGCCAAGTTATACTAACCATCTTCAACCTTGCATAATCCCCAGAATTAACTCTTCTGTAGTGCCAGCATTCTTGACACTTGACTATAGCATGCTCAATATTTAAGTAAATATGTCATGGTACAAGGTATAAAAAGGAACTTTTAGTTCCAGAGAGAGAAAGGAAGAAAAAGAAGAGGCTGCCTGAAAAGAGAGATTGGAATGAGAGCTCTAAATCCCAGGACCAATGACAGATCTGAAATTAAACCCTGTGTCATCCGGATGTGGCACACTTCACAGGTCTGTGGCTGTAAAACATGATTACATTTTTTTGCAAAATTTTCTATGAATGATTTTCATTGTATAGAAATGTTGAAAATAATGTATAGTGAACCCCCATACCTAATACTGAGATACTGCAACTGCTAATATTTTGTCATATTTGCTTTATCATATATATATAGAGAGAGAGTATATATATATATACTCTATCTGTTCACTTATCCATCCAACAATTCACTCATCAATACACCTTCTTTTAAAATGCGTTTCAAAGTGAGATGCAAACATCGATGTTAGTATTCTTCACCCCCATACACTTCAGAATGATTTTACCACTTAAGATTCGATATTTAGATCACATTTATTTTTAATGACTAAATTAAGGTGTTTGATGGTCCAATTAATAAAGCTGACCGTGTTCAAAGATTTCTTCAGATTCTTGTACTATTTCGCAGGGATGCCTCACATGAATCACTAAAAAATGCCCACAGTAACATGTCGGTCAGTTGCTACCAGCACTGGGAATAGGTCGTGTTCTTCCTTCTTCCCTGTCTGTTCCAGCTCCCACTTATCATATTGTTTGCCTGAGAATCCATCTGGTAAGTTTACACCAATCCCACTGCCTATAATACTATCTGCAATGTCTGTATTGTAGATGCTGACCCTCTATGTTCTTAAAGCTTTTGACCTTGGGGAGGCAGAGCATTGCTGCATTCCACGCAGAGGTGGGCAGGAGAGAATCCTGGCCTGTGCTGTGTCCCTGTGCTCAGCCACAGCTTAGCCTGTATCCAAAACCTCCCAGAGTCTGATGGTTCTTGATCTTCCCTTCTCTAACCGTGGGTGCCTAAATCAAACCCAAGGCACTGGAAACCCAAGGAAACAGGTCCTATCTTCTTATAATTTCTGTTCTTTCTTTGATACTTGTTTTTGGAACTCAAACTCCTTTTCTCCCTGTTTCTTGGGTTATCAAAAAACAAGATCCCAAGTATGTGATTTAATTGTCATGGGAGACAAAAAAGGGGGTGTGTAATTCCAAACTTAGTCAGCCAAAAATTCTGTCACACCTGGAATTCCAGTAACAGAGTTTCACATTGGAAGGAGCAGATAAGCGAAGTGTGGAAGATTCAGGGTGAGGTCAGCCAAAGGGTATTAAATTTAAGGTCACTCACAGTAGAATAAAAAACATTTACATCTTCAAAGACATTATGTTTATTCTAGAAGACAGGATGTTTTAAAATACATCTAATTTTCATAAGAATTCTTAATCCCTTGATAATGGTCTGGCTATTAAAAACCAGGCTGAAAACTTGTAGCTCCATTAAGGGAATAGTTAATGAATAGTGCTGTCAGTTGTATTACAGGTGGTGAGAAAGGTTAGGGAAGTACTTAGAAAGCTTGGATTTGTTGTATGGAGGTCCTTCCTGATTGAAAAGAACAACGTTGGGTCTGTGTGAATAAGAATAGTACACCGAAGAGTATTTGTTCTTCTGGAATCTGCCAAGGGAAAACACAATGAATTGAAAGGGACTAAACAGAAAGCAACAAACAAACATGACACACAAACACAGTCTCATGGATACAACAGTGGATTGACAGTAGATTAGCAGTTACCAGAGGGAAATGGGGAAGAGGAGAGGTAGATAGGGTTAAAAGGGGTCACGTATTTGGTGATAGAAGAAAATCTAACTTTGGGTAGTAAACACACAATGTAATATATATACGTATTGTTGAATTGTATACTTGAAACTTATTTGATTTTATAAACCAATGTCACTCCCTGCCCCCCAAATTTCAATTAATGATAAAAAAAAAGGGACTACTAAGAGAATGCATTGCCAGGTCTAAGGAAACAGTTTAATACCACCTTCTGATTAAATTTTAAGCCAGAAGTTAAAGACTTATTAAGAAGAAGTGTCTCACGAAAAGGCTGTAGAACTAATGGCCACAAAGCCCCAATGTTGTATATGGGACTTCATATACTTTTCATGCTATGAACAGAGCTCAGAGAAAGTTAAAAAAATGCTTTCCATTTATATATTGAAGGGGAAACAGGGTTAAATCAGTTAATTTTGAAGAATAGTTGATCCTATGGAGATTACTTGACTCTAAATAGGTGTTAATACTCCCTCACATCTTGCTATACCTTGTGTTTGCTGTGATTGCTTTTGTTGGGTGATTTTAATTCTAGAAGTCCTGTTTAAATAGAAAAACATAGCTGATGATAAATAATTTACAAATCCACTTTGGGATAAAAAAGCTGAAGAAACACTAGGCTATTCAGACCAGAAAACACCATCTACTGGAAGGTTTTGGAGGTGGCTACAATACTTGAAAGGAGAAGGTCTTCTGGAGAGAGAGCCCTGGATATTCAGCTCAGTAAGGGGATGGCAAGTATAATTCTCTACCCACACAACCAACCTGATCTCATGCCTGGCACATCACCCTTCTTGTGCCTGCCAGCACATGGTTACCTCCAAGAAGAACTCTGCTACTATAAGCCAGGTCCTCCAGGAGCTGTCAAAGAAGGGACTTGTTGGTATAACCTCTCTGGTGGCTTCAGGAGACCCTCCCACACTCTTTTGCCCCAGACTTGAAAGTGGAGGTTTCAGGGACCATATTGTTTGGTACAGGAGGTGGGAGAAGAAAAGCCACAGCCTTTCCAGCAGGAAATGCAAGCTAGCAGATTTTACCTTACATCGGTTGCCGCAGACATGAGCAATTTGGCATAATTTCCAAGGTGCCAAGAAGGGGCCTGATTCTTTCTTAAATCTCCTTTCTTTGCTTTGAATGCCTTTTTTTTTTTTTTTTGAAATTTGCCTGCTTGACTTTCTTTTCTGGAGGTTGTAGGATATGATAGAAAGAACGCTGGGTGGTGACTGCCACTTAACCAGCTGTGCATCCTTCTATAAGGCAAGTCCCCATTCTGTACCTCAGTTTCTCCATCTGTAAAATTGGGGAGAATAAGAGAATTCTAAGAGTCCCTTTGTGGTCTGATATTTTACATATCTGGGCTTTACCTATGTTAAAGTATAAATTATTTGAGAAGAGATCCCTCATTATGCATAGCCAGCCACTTCCTTTGGAAGGAGATTGTCTCAGAGTCTTCTCTGAGCATGAGTTAGGATAGGGAGGGAGCATCTGAGAACTGGGCAACTGAGGAGTATGAGGGTGGGTGCTAAGGCCCAGGAAGAAGGGGTAGCCAGAGACACACTTTCACACTTCCCATTGGCCCTAGGTGTAAAACTTAAAGAAATCACCAAGCAATAATTGTCTTTCCAATGCCTTCTTGGTGGCCACTAGCTTTTCAGGCAGGATGTAAACATCAACTGTTTAAGCACTAGCTGCAGATCTGTTTCCAACTCTGCCACCCGTTGCCTCCCTGAGTCACCACTCAGCCACCATCTCTGTGGGATTCAGTGAAGCACAGGTGCAGTGGGAATTTCTCTGATTCTCTTTACCCTGGTGAAAACCTATTATTTTGTGTTTTCAGAACAGCATCCCCCCTCTCTGGGAAATGCTCCTTTCTTTACTCTAACCATGGTGCTTCACATGAGCACTTCCATCTCCTTGGTGATCCCATCCTTCCGGTCTTCACTGATTGGACTTGAAGCAGGCACCTAACTAACATTGGGCCAATTCATTCAAGGAACTCCATTCCTTGGCTATATGACATCTGAAGGCTTCCTTAGGATTTTTTTTTTTAACTTGGCAACCAAGATAGTGGGTTTTTTTTTTTGTGTGCGTGTGGTGAAAAAGCTGAAAAATGTGAAGTACAGACCAGGCCAGTGGCCACTTTTTTTTTTTTTCCTATGTTGTAGAAGAAGTAGGTTTAGGAAGAAGATAAAGCTGGTATTCAAAGACAATTATGAACAAGAGGAAGTCCTCACGTCACAGTCCCCCTCATGTCTGAGGTCTAGCTGCCTGCCCTCCCTGTGGTTTTGAGAATCTTGTTGTGAATTCATCTGTGTGTTTAAGCCGTGTCACATGCTGAGCTTTGGTCACTTGCAACTAAGAAGTCCTCATTAAGAATCTCAGGGACTGTAGATCTTCTTTTAGGTTCTCATTCTCCACCCTTGTAAAGAGTTGGACTGGATTCCTATGTTGCTTCTGGCTTTATCAGTCTGGGAAGTTCAAACACAGAAGCTGTGAGAAAACTTTGAGAAAACTTATAAAGGAAGAAGCCATGAAAGAAACTTGTCTCAGGCCTGCAAAATATTATTAACCAATGTCACCCCAATAAATTTAATTAAAAAAAAAAAAGAATTAGAACCAAATCAAAACAAAATCCCTTGACAATATGTTCATCGTTTATTTGGAGCCTCTTTTGTATTTTGGAGACATAAGGGACTTTTGAGTTTGTCCTTGGTTTGGTAATTAAATGAAGTGATCCAACCAGTAACCATCTTCCTGTTTGGAGACCTCGGTCTGTCCACCTCTGAATTAGAATGTCTGGGTCATTCGATTTCTAATATCTCCTTTGGTTCTTGTGCCTTATAGGAGCTTATAAAAATTCTGGAATTCCAGAATATGTAAAGTGAGGGCAGTTTATCAGTGATGAACTGTTATAACAGGATAACACCTTCCAAAGCAAATTTATGAGCACTAGAAAGTCTTCATCCTTGAATTGGTGGGAGATCCACCCAAGTATGAATAGGAGAAGTTAGTAGAGATGAAAACACCATGGTGAGCGTTGACGATATGTCTTCTTTACATCCAAACCTGTAGTCCTTCCTAATGCCTCTCCCAGACTGTAAGTC